CCGAGCGCCAAGTGCGGTCGCACCTGTGTTTGCCTCTTTGCTGCAGTCTGTCAAGGGCCGTTTTCTGGGTGTTTCCTGATACCCTCTTCACTTCCCAGCTGTCCTCAGTAGCAGGAGACAGGCATGATGGGACTCAATAAAATAGCCACCTGAAAGGCCTTGCTGTGAGGCTCGTAGGTGTAGGTGGGTTTCAGGCCCTTTATCTGTCTAGTTATGTGTGTGCAGGTTCACCCCCACGTTTGGATGTGTCCCCGAGTATGCTCAGCCATAAAAGCAGCCCAGAGCATGAACCAACTGGTTGATAGACAATGGTCGAAGAGGCTGGTGCTGGTGGGAAAGGTCACTTGCACACCATGGTGACAGGTGTGGGCTTAGGCCACCCTTACCAGCAAGTGGCCAGATGGGTGTGGACTCGTGGACTTCTTGGTTTCCGGGCTTCGGGTGAGGGGCCCCCAACTCCTCTCCCCTGCAGTCCATGTGCATGACCATAAACGATTTAATTTCTTCATAGCGCTTCCATGTAGATTGCAAGGCTAACGGGACTTGGTCTGAACTAACACGCATGTCCACCCATCGAGCTGCCACCACCGGTAACACCACTTTAAGAAGGGAAGCAGGAGGCTCTGGGCTGCACGCATAACTGCCTGCCTTTCCCCCCATGTTCCACAGGTGGCGACCTGCGCATGACTCAGTTTTTCCGAGGTGACCTGGCTGGCCTGACAATCCGTTCTGGGAAACTGGCAGACAAGAAGGTGATCGACTGTCTGTATACCTGCAAAGAGGGACTAGACCTGCAAGTCCCCGGAGACAGTGGCGGAGGTGTGAAGGTGAGACTGGCATTCACCTGCACGACATTCACAGACTTCTAGACCAGAGGTAGAGGCTGTTGGCATGAGGATGGACCTGTGGTTGATCCTGAGCTATTTTTACTCATACACTTTTCTGACGTGATATGTGTGGGGTTTTTTCCTCACACCAGTCGACTCCCCGGACACCGGCTCTCCAGGTGTCCTGCGATTCCCTTCTGACACCACCTGGCTTCAGCTTCAGATCCCACAGGCGAAGGGCTCAGTCTCACGGGACTGTCCCAACTTCGGGTGCTGGTTGTGAGACTCGGGCTCTTGGGTTACCTGCACTCTGTCTGACTGGGCTCCAGAGTCGGGTGTTACCACATTCTCCACACCCTCCTCCCTTTGAGGTTCAACAGTTTACTAGAACTGTTCAGAAAATGCCAGAAAACACTTAACCTACTGTTACTGGTTTACTATAAAGGATGCAACTCAACCCAGCATAAGAGCCACACAAGCCAAGGACCTGGGGCGGGGCCCGGAGCCTCCACGCCCTGCAGGGTGCCACCCTGACATGGGTCACTGGCTGCACACCCCCAGGCCCTGTTGTCAGGATTTTTATGGAGGGCCCATTACACAGGCACGAATGATTAAGTCCTTGGCCATTGGCATTGACTCAACCTCCAGCCCCTCTCCTGTCCCTTAGCTCTGGGGATGAGGTGAAATTTCCAGGCCTCCCATCTCACGATTGGTTCTTCTGGCAAAAGCCCCCATCCTGAAACTATCTAGGACCCCACCAAGAGTCACCTCAGCCAGAATAAACCCTGGAGTGGTTGGGAGGGGCTCGTTGTGAATTGTAAAAGACGCTCAGATTGTCATTTAGGCAATCCCTAGGGTTTTAGAGGCTCTGTGCCAGAAACCAGGGACCGAGGCCAAATGCATACTTCTTATACCACAGGTGGGTTTGCCCCTTAGACGCTTACCATCACAGAGGAGGGTCTGGGCCCCGCGATTACGTGAGCTGTCCTCCTCCAGGCCACCAGCGCAAATCTACCCCAGCTAGTCCTCTTGGCCAGAGTGCTCCTGATTTCAGCTCTTGTAGTCAGAGCCTCATGCCTCTCCTCTCTCTCTCTGGCATGATTTCAGATTGAAGCCAACCCCAGCCAGTCGATGCTGACTTTGGAGGGAGAGGATGTCAGGGAGTTGGAGAAGGCCGTGCAGCACGTCGCCTACCTGAACTCCCGGCAGTTCCCCACACCTGGGATCCGGAGGCTCAAACTCAGCAGCACCGTCAGGTACCTGCTGACTTTTCATAGTAACCGTCTGCTCGCTGATCCTCGAGAAGGAAACGTGTGTGCTCAGGTGTTTAGACGACCCCGCCTCCCTTCCGTAAGGAACGGTGGCCGTCACTCGTACCGGAAAGTCTGAGCGTTGTCTTTCAGTGGTTTGGGGGCACATCCCGAGAGTGGCCGCTGTCGTCCGTATTTGTGGCATCTGTGTGTGCCACCTCCACCTGCCTCTCGGAGCCCTGACCTGGCCTTCCCTTCCCCGCTGGCAGGTGTTTTAACGAGGCCGCCTGCATTTCAGTCCCCCCGGTAGACGGCTGCGTGATGGTTTTGCAGCCCGAGGAGCCCAAGATCAGTCTGAGCGGCGTCCACCACTTTGCTCGAGCGGCTTCCGAGTTTGAAAGCTCGGAGGGGGTTTTCCTCTTTCCCGAGCTTCGGATCATCAGCACCATCACGCGGGAAGTGGAGCCCGATGGCGAAGGGGACGAGGACCCCACAGGTGACAGCCCCTGTGCCCAGGGTGGCAGGAACCCTGCTGCCTGCCTGGGCCCTTTGTCTCTGGGGTTCGGGAGGTGTGGGTGCCTGCTGCTGCTCTGGGTGTGCCTCTGCAATCCGGCCGGGGCCAGAGTGCATTCTCCCTTGGGGAACCCACCTGGAGGGGCCTTCGCTGTCCCCGAGGAGGTCGAGGACGACACTGTTGCAGGAGACACTCAGTGTCTCACTCCTGGAGCTGCACCTCTGCTGGCTGCTCAGGCCGCATCTCAGGCCTTCCCAGTGGTCAGTGCTCCTAGGTGCATCAAGTACCCCCTTTCTTGAAACTGACTCTCCCGTACCTCCGTCACCTGTCCTTAAATAGACTCTGTGACTTTGAGGATGAGCCGGCAGGCTGTCAGTGTGACGAGCCTCTCTGGGCTCCGCGGCCTCTGCTATTTCTGGGTGGGCTGTTTTCGCAGTTCAAGAGTCCCTGGTGTCTGAGGAGGTCGTGCACGACCTGGACACCTGCGAGGTCACAGTGGAGGGGGAGGAGCTGAACCCAGAGTGGGAGAGCCTGGAGGTGGACGTGGCTCGTCTGCAGCACAGTGGCATCGAGGCGAGCAGCTCTGGCCTGGGCATGACATTCACAGGTGAGAGGAGTGGGGCCCGTCAGTCTGGGGGCGCCGAGCCTTACCCCGCATCTGGAACTCAGTGTCTTGGAGGAGATGGGAGTTGGGCTGCTAACCGGGGTCAGTGCCAGCTACATGCGTCCTCCCAGGCAGGACGAGGACGTGCAGGCCCTGCCCTGTGTCCTGCCCTTACGAGAGGTAGAAGTCAGGCACGTGGCAACACAGCCCGAGAGGGAAGATCCCCCCGCGCCCCCGCACACTTTGCACTTGTCCCTGCGGTTGGAGAGCCAGAACGTGTGGCGGGCTCGCTCAGGCGACGCGGAAGCCTCTCTGCAGCCTGCCTTGGCCCTGGTCCCGGCCCTGCCCCTGCTCCCGGCCCTGCCCCTGCTCCCGGCCTCCACCACCAGGCCATCTTCTCACGTAGGTGTGGACACCATGGCCAGCTATGAGGAGGTCTTGCACCTCCTGCGCTATCGGAACTGGCACTCCAGGTCCTTGCTTGACCGGAAGTTCAAGCTCGTCTGCTCGGAGCTGAATGGACGCTACATCAGCAATGAATTTCAGGTGGAGGTGAGTGCGGAGCTTCCGTGGAGAAAGTCCCCGTGCACGGCCCTGATGTTTGGAAGCACCGATTTTTAGGACATTTGTGGTGGCAGCTATTCAGGTTCGTCCCAGGGGCCTGCGGTGAATCAGACCTGTGCAGGTCGGGGGCAGGTGACACGTGGACAGGCGGGGTGCCGTGCGGCGGTCCCCTTTGACAGGCTGCCTCAGCCCAAGGGCCTGAGGGACATTGGGATCGGGAGGTGGTGCAGATTGAGGGACAGGGGTAAGGTAGTTTCTTGAGGTTGGACAGCACGTTAGAGAGAGCGGTGGCCGGGGAGGCGGAGGCTGTTTGTAGTTGTAGACAGCGGCCCTGCTGTGGGTGAACCTTTGCCCCAGGTGAGGGCCACCGATGCGGGGCAGCCCCAGGCCGGGCTGCCGTCTGCCGAGCCCAGTGGTGGTGACTCGGGCCACAGTGGCCGGAGGGCACCCGTCCTCCTCTGAAATCTTCAGGGGCCTGCATCGCAGCTCCGTTATCACTCGATTCCTGTGATCTGGGGACAGGGACCCAAAGCAATCAGATGTCTGCACCGTGACTTCCCAGCAGAACTGACGAGTGTTTTATCTGAGCCAAAGGGTGACAGTTTTAAAGGAAAGAAATGGTCACTTGTGGTCTTCCGCGTGGCTGCGGCTTTGGGGAAGGGAGGGAACGGCCGGTGCCGGTCTGCTCCAGCGACGGGGTGGAGGACCGGTGGTGGCGTTTTGTGTTTCCAGCGTACCGTGGACGGGTCCTTTTATAAAATACGATAAAAACGAATTAGAACAGAGACACGACCCTCGGACGTGTGGCGGCGTCAGGCTGTCGCAGTGGTTTCTAAGTGCTCACTCCGCTTGTCCGCTCGCCAGCCCCAGTCCAGGGCGCGCTTGGGGCGGCACTGACCACGTCGGGTCCTGAACCGCGTGTCCGTCCCAGACACGTTCCGGCTGCCGTTGTGTTTCTGCTGCAGGTGAACGTGATCCACACGGCCAGCCCCGTGGAGCACGCCAGCCACATGGCCGCACAGCCACAGTTCGTACACCCTGAGCATCGCTCCTTCGTGGACCTGTCGGGTCACAACCTGGCCAGTCCCCACCCCTTCGCAGGTAGGACTGTGGGGCGGAGCCCTGACCTCAGGGAGGCTCTGGGCGGACACCCCTCTCCCCTCCCTGCCCTGAGCCCAGCCCCTGCCCAGAACAGCCACCGGCCAGTCGGGCCGTGAGTCCCTGTCACACGGAGCTAGAGCGCTGCCAGGACGGACTCGCCCTTGGCCCCGATCTCCAGCCTGTGCCGAGCCTCTGTGACCCTTCTCCTGTCCCGCAGGGGTCAGACGGAGCTTGCAGCGTCTGTGCAGGAGGTCAGGGCCGGGCGGCCCCCTGGCTTCGGGTTCGTCGTCACAGCCCCGTTCCGTGTCTCTCTCTCGTTGCAGTTGTCCCCAGCACGGCGACCGTCGTGATTGTGGTGTGTGTCAGCTTCTTGGTTTTCATGATCATCCTGGGAGTGTTCCGGATCCGCGCTGCTCATCAGCGGACCATGCGGGACCAAGACGCCGGCAAGGAGAACGAGATGGACTGGGACGACTCCGCCTTGACCATCACCGTGAACCCCATGGAGGTAGGCGCGGATGGGTGGCCTGTGACCGAGAACCCCTCTGCAGGCCGGGGCAAAGCTGGGCTCGCCTCAGAGGAGTGCCACGGCGTCTCTGCGTTTGCATGCTGCACGCGCGTGCTCCGCGTGACCACGCTGCGGGGCGCAGGTGGCCCTGTCTCCCAGGAGGGTAAACCGAGGCCCAGGGGGACCTTGTTCAAGGTCATGCCACCGAACAAGAGGACAGACGCACACTTCCCACGTGCACAGACCCTGAGACAGCTTCCGGCATGGTCCAGCCCTCTCGCTGCCGCGTGACACGGGGAACCCCTAGCCTCACGTGGCTGTCTCTTTGTCAGACGTACGAAGACCAGCACAGCAGCGAGGAGGAGGAGGAGGAGGAGGAGGAAGAGGAGAGTGAGGACGGCGAGGATGACGAGGTCACCAGCGCCGAGTCTGAGAGCAGCGAGGAGGAGGGTGGGGAGCACGGAGACCGGCAGGCCGTGAGCAGGCAGCAGCAGCTGGAGTGGGACGATTCCACCCTCAGCTACTGAGCTGTGGCCACGCCCTCCACGCCTTTCCCCCACTTGAGGACCATTGTCACCGTCGTGCAGTCCCAAGGGTCCATGATGTACAAATCATTCTGGCCAGTAGGTCTGCGGACCCCCCTCGCCGACCGTCTGCCGTGCTTGGCGTGTAGGACCCTAGGCACCCCCCACCCCCGCCTGAATCTCCCTTAAGTTATGGGAGGGGCTGACACCTGCTCTCTCCTGTCACCTCGCTCTGCGTGGCCCCCTCGCGCTGCCTCCAGGAAAGCCACAGTGACCGGACTCACTGACAAGGGGTTAAAGTCACTCACTCCCACCGGGTAATCCCTTTTCATTTTTTTTTTTAAAGTTTTTACTTTTTCCAAGCTAGTGCATGTATAAAGTGGCAGAACGGGGGTTAATATGTAGATGATGAACTTTTTAATATTTTGTAAATAAATTGGGAGTCCTCACGTCCTCTGTGTTAGTGTAACCCAGGACGGGAACGCAAGTGAGGGCGAGACCCTGGGTGCAGGGGAACCAGCGGGCTGCCGCCACCTCCCCGCCCCAGACAAGGAGGAAGGGTCACTGGGACAGTTCCCAGCCTCGGGTGTCGGTTTGGTGGGTGGCCAGGGCAGTCGGGGGCAGGGATCTGTGTGCTGCTTGGTGGGAGGGGACCAGACCAGGAGCCCTCTGCAGAGGCTGGAAACAGCCGGGCCTTGTCTCTGGGGCTCTGCCCGTTTCCCGTGTGGCAGTGGGGTGGGGAGCTGGGGTCCCCGGGCTCTCGCACACAGCTCCCCGTGCAGGCACCGGGACTTCCTGTGCTCAGCCCTGGGTTCACTTAGACGTACGTGTCCTTGCTGGTGAGAGGACTGTGCGGGTGTGGTCTGGGGACAGCAGCAGGCCAGGATGATCCACGCTCGGGTCTGGGAGTAGATTCCCTGAAGGGGCACCCCGCGGCCCAAAGGCAAAGAACTAGGTTCCTGCAAGGTGCTCTCTTGTCCGCCCCGGAACCCCAGGGGTGACGGCCACTCTCCAGGAGTGAGGCGCCCGCTGCCGTGCTTGGTGGCGAAGGGAAGGGAGAGGACAGCCCTGAGCTAAAACCCCTACAGCACTTTGTTTTTAATTTACGTGTAAAATTTTAGATTTCTAAAACTGGGGGGGAAATAATTTTGAATCCTGTTCTGTGATCATAACTGCTAGTTTCGAGGACACTGCCCGCTGTCTCCGTGTCGTGTGTGGCCCTCCCTCCGTGTATTGTCACTGTAGCTGCTTAGACAGTGGACAGATGCCGTCGCGGAGACGAGGCGTCCGCGTGCTGTCCGTAGCCGCCGTGAGCCCAGCCTTTCCGATGTGTATGTCGCTAGGTCAGAAAGCATCTCCACTCCAATAAAGTTCTGGTTCTAACTCCGGTGGTGAGTGTCTGCTTCCATCTCGTTTGTTTTTAATCCTGCGTTCCTTGTTTTTTTGAGCCGAGAACGTAACATAAAAGGGCTTTTATTTCTTTCAATCTGCTTTTGCCTCTCATTTCAAGGTTTCACAGGGTGCTGGCCCTCAGCCTCTATCAGTTACCACCTTCCCCATACAGAAGAAACATGAAATGATTTTTTAAAAATAGACAACATTATCCTCACCAGGCTCACGGGCCGTGTGCCCTCCGGAACTCGCTCCGTACGTGCAGAGTGCGCGCCAGGGAGCTGCCTCGTTTAAATAAATAACAGGGAGACTAACAGGTGAGCTGGGTCTGAGGAACTCAGCGCCTGCTCGGGAACAAGGGGTCAGTGGTGCTCTGGGGGAGACACGATTGCACCGCTGCTTCTAACCAAGACGAAGTCGGCCCCTCGGCTGTGGACAGGGCAGCTACTCCTGGCTCGACGGAGCCTCACAAGGCCTTTGCAACATCAGCGGTGTTGCCTGGCAGGTCCCGAGTCGGCAGCTAATACAGCAGGGTCCCCGTGGGCTTCTGAGGCCCAGGCTTCCGGCCCCATCCCCAGAGCCAGCTTCGGAAGGTGGAAGGCCCAGGAACCTGCATTTCTAGAGCTCCCCAGATCCGCCTACGGCTAAACCTGACCCACACCAAGCTCAGTACTGTCAGAGGAAGTTTGTATCCCACCCTAACACACCTCTGGAACCTGCTGCTCATAGCCAGCTTTAAAAGGTGGGAGTTCTGGGAGAGATCAGATCTGCCCGTAAAACCTGCTTTAAGAGGCAGCCTACCCATAATTGCACAAAATACTCTGATCTGCTTTTGCCCTGATCCATGACCAAAATGAGCTAAATCAAGCTCAAATCTTTTTAATATGTCGTGAGGACCAGTATATATTATACTTTACGGGAGCTGAGGCCGTTCTCCCGAGCCACAGAGGTTCAGTGAGTAGTTTACTTTTTACCCGCAAACAAAATCGCTTTACAGCAGAGAAATGAGAATTCCCGTACCCAAGAGTCACTTTAAAAGTGAAAAGCAAGCATCCCTGAATGTAGAGGGTACCAGGCTTCCTCTGGGAGCTGCCCAGAATTCGGTTAACGGAGAGCACAGAGGTGGAGGGGTGAACGGAGGCGAGGGTGCCTGTCCAGACAGCAGGTACCAGGTACCTGCCAGGCGCTAAGACCCATGCAGGCCAGTGGGAGCCTGGGACGAAGGCCGGCTCCCCAGCAGGGAGAAGTGTCTGCTGGGTCCAGATCGCCAGCTGGAAGACGCGGGGTTATAATCCTCCGCTGGATGCCGCCTCCATTTGTCCACCTCACAGTGTCTTCTCATCAAAGCCCAGGGCTCTGATGGGGGATGGGGGGAACGCCAGGGGCAGCACCCCTCCCCGGCGCTAAGGATGCATTTCCATTTATGGCTGTTGAGTTCCTGAAACATTTCAAGTCATAAATAAATAACCAGTGTAAACAAAAGGCAGTTGTGTAGGTTCCTTCCCATCGGGTGCAGTGCAGGCTTTGAGACCTCGAGGACAAGGGCCCGTTCCCAAGATCGGAGGTTCGCTCATCGTCGTCATCGTCCGCGCCGGGCGTGGGGGGGTCAGTGCTGCCGGGAGGGCTATTGCCTGTTATCTTTGGACACGTTGTGGGCCAGCCAGTTCACTTTGGTTTTCCAGCTCTCCCGCAGCGCCTCGTTAAACTTCACTCGGAAGTGCTTTAGCGCCTCCTCCTCGGTCTTCCCCAACGCCAGGGAGTCCTGGGGCAAAACCACCGGAAACAGTGAGAGGGCCTGGCCCCTGCGGGGCGGGCAGGACAACCCCTCCCGCCTCCCTCGGCGTGTCTTCAATTCCCTCCTGAAAGAATGGCGGGAAGAGTCAGGAGACGGCCACCCAGCACCTCCCTTGGAAGAGCTCTTTATTCTGATCCCCAAACAAAAGGGGCCCCCGACCCACCCTCCGAATGAGACGCCACTCTCAGCAAAACCGGGGCTACCTCCGGCCGCTTCCATCAGACCCTACTGCTGGGTCCAGCGAGAGGGACTTGTGAGTCGGGGGGCACCCTGTGAGGTCCACCATAGTCGGGGGGTCCCCTGGGCCATGCTGCTGGGAGACAGGCCTTGGGAGGCCTGGGCCTCCGCGGTCTCCCGGCTGGCGGGGCCCCGCCCTGGCCTGTACCTTGAGATACTGGATGTCCTTGGAGCAGCTGAGCTCAGGCAGGCCCGCCGCCCGCATCAGGGCGAAGAGGTGGAGGAAGAGCAGCCCGTGGCGCCGCAGGATGGTGTAGGCCCTCTCGCAGTAGCCCCGGAACCTGCGCGGAGGCGGGCCCTGGGTCCTGCCGGCCACGCCCACCCAAAAACCCCCAGCCGCCTTGCCTGCCCTCGCCCCGGAAACGGCCCTGTGCTTGCCCTAACTGACCCCGGCCCCAGCCTGCCTCCTCCCACAGGACCCAGGAACCTTCTCCCGACACTGCCCCCTCCAAGGGCCGGCTGAGGCGAGGTCCCCTCCCTGCACCTCGTCTGGGGGCCCCGGGCACGAGGGCCATTTCGGGGGGATCTGAGGCACCCTCACCTTTCAAATTTCTCACTGTTATTAGTCTTCCCCTGCTGGATCACATGGACGAAGTCATAGGTGAGGATGAATGGGACTCGCTCACGGTTGATTCCAAACTTGGTCTTGAAATTCCCCAGAAAGTGGCCGAAGTCGATGTGGAAGAGCTGCGGGAGGAGAAGGCCGAAGGCTGAGAGGGGCCAGGACGGAGGGGGAGGGAGCCGAAGGGCTTGGTGAGGCCTCCGCCTCCAGCCGAGAGCAGAAAGGCTGAGCCGGAACACAGGCATGGCCCGCCCGGCCCCCCACGCGGCCCCCACGCGGCCGCACCTGCCCGTTCTCACGGATCATGATGTTGTCGCTGTGCCGGTCTCCGATGCCCAGCACATAGGTGGCCACACAGTAGCCAGCGCAGGAGAGGGTGAACTCCTCGATGGCTCGATCCAGGGCCTCCCTGGGGGGGACATGAAACCATGACCTGAGACACTGCAGCTCCTGAGCCCTCCCTGCTGCCATGCAGGGAAGCCGAGGCTGCAGTGGGGACAGGCCACACACGCAGCATGGCATGCGGACAGCTGGGCCCCCGACATGCCACGCTCAGGGCCCAGCCAAGCTACCAGAGGGCAGCAGTGACCCTGGCAGCATAGCCACCAGCTAGGCCAGCTCAAGCTGACGATGTCTGAACCAATAATAATAAATGGTGGTGGCTTTACGTCCCCAAGCGCATGCAACAGAAGGCTGAAAACGTGGGGGGACAGAGACCCGCCCCCACCACGGACACGACACAGGCTGGTCCCGGCTGAGCCGAGAAGCCACGAGACTGTCACAGACCCTTGCCCTCGCCTTTGACTCCCACACCGCACGTGTCACCTGTCCCCAAGGCCCGAAACCTACCCGGGGTTCTTAGACTTGAGCCAGTTGAGCAGGGCGTCCTTGTTGAAGGCGGCCGTGGCTGCCATGTTGCTCTTGTTCAGCTGGATGTTGGCGATGGTATCCGAGTGCAGCACCACCTCAATGAGGCCCGTGCGGTCCCCCGTGGAGAGGCAGCCGTAGGGGGTCATCCTAGCCAGGTGGGAGGGGGGCAGGCAAACGCTGTGGTCAGGGGGCTGTCCCTGGGGCTGAGTGCGACACCTAAACTAGCCACAGGAGATGCTACTCGAGTTGCCGAAGAGGAGCAAAACCAGCGGCTGCTGGGGAGGAGCCCCCGACTCCTGGGGCCCCGCGGCAGGCTCCCTGGAGAAGCAGTCCCAGCATCTAAGATGCAGAGAAAAGGCCAGCACCACGGCTGAGTTCACGCCGGCTCAGAGAGAAAAAGCCACTGGCTTGGAAGAACAAGGGGCAGGAAGCCGAGGATGCTTGGGGCGCAGGAAACAGCGGTGAGACAGATGCTGGCCCAGGGCTGGCCTCCACCCTCTCCGTATGGCCCTATCACCACCCTCTTGGCCTGGGTACTGAACTGGACCCTGCTCTTCTTAGAACCGCCATTTTTTCCCGAGGTGGTAACGTCAGCTTTGGCAGGGGACCCTTCCAAAGGGACAGGGTCTTGGGCCTGGCACAGGCACAGATGCACGACAGGCGGCTCCTCACCTCAGGTCCAAGCCCTCCTGCTTCCACAGAACGTCCATGAGCTGGATCATCTGCAGAGTCAGCATGTCCTGGCGGAGGTCTGTGCCCCCAGCCCCGGAAGGAAAAGCATGAGTTTCTAGTGGGTTTTCCACCCCCAGCCATGCCCAGGCCCCAGAGTTCTGGGACTTCCCCTCTGCTCACACTCCCGAAGTCACCCCCCAGATTCCCCCGAGGCAGTGCAGCTCGGTGAGATGAGGCCAAGGGCTCAGCAGGTCCCTCCCGAGGCCCAGCCTGCTCACCGTCCCCATTCTTGAAGATGATGCCCACGCTGCCCTCGCTGCCCGCCTCCTCGTTGCTGTACATGACCCACAGTGGCTTCATCTTGGAGTCCATGAAGGTGCACTGCTCCACACTGCCGGGCACAGGGCAGTCAGCAGGGGCCCCTCCGCGGGCCTCGGGGGGCAGGAGGAGGCCCGAGCCGGGGCTCACCAGACTTCAGCCAGCAGGGTGCTGGGATCGAGCGGGGACTGCAGGTGGGAAAGGGCCTCCAGGTAGGTCTCCTGGCGCATGCACAGGTGCAGCAGCTCCTTGGTCTGGGGCTTGGGGCTCTTCTGGGAGCTCACTTTGACGAAGTCGTTCAGGGCCTTCAGTTTGCTGAGCGCTTCCCCCTGGACAGGAGGACAGGAGAGCGGCGTGAGCAGGCCTGGCGGGGCAGGCCGTGAGCCTCGGGCCGGCCCCGGTGATTTGAAAGGGGCCTGGCTGACCCTGCCCAGGGGTGGAGCGCAGCCTGGGGTGAGGGCCCTGGGCCCTGGGCTTCACCTGTTTCATCAGCACCTTCATGTGGTGGGTGCTGCCCCTGCAGTAGGCTTCCATGATGAGGCCGAAGCGCAGGGCCACCGACGGCACGTGCATCTCGGAGCTGGAGGGAGGAGGAAGCGGCTGAGCCTCACCTGGCAGGGCCACACGGCGCCCCCAGGCCCAAACAGGACACCCAGGCCAGCGGAGACGCAAGGCCGAGGCCGGTGGGCAAGAGGACCCTCCTCCTCTTGGCCTCCCAGGGAGATGCAGGGGCCAGGGCAGTCCAGCTACCGGAGGTGCCAGAAGAGGAAGTGGCCGATCTTGCGG